CCGGGCCCAAGGCCAAAACCACATTTTATGATAGAGAGGTTTAAGCTTCCACGAATTATCGGCGGAACGGCGCGTAATACAATTCGTAGATGTGAAGTAACGGACTTTGTATGTGTCCAATGTTATGGGATTCAGGGGTGGNNGTGTTATATCTAAACCGTGAAGGAACTCCACAAAAAAACTGCTCGATCCGGAGCTGCTGAACCTAAACCCTAAACCCTAAACCTGGTGAACTGGTCCTCTGCTGCTGGCTGTAGTTCCGGGGACCCCTTCTTCGGCGCTTTTACGGTAAGGGTCTTAGACGTTGGTCTTGTGAGTTGGTCTGTTGTCTCAAAGGGTCCTTGCTTCTGGTTTCACGCCGACCTCGTACCATTGACCTCGCCTGGCATGTCCGAGTCGTGAGAGCGTAAACCCTGAACCTAAACCTAAACCCGAAAGTCCTAAAGCCTTGCAACCTAAACCCCAAATCGCCTGAAGCCCAAAAGCCCTAAGGACACCCCAGAGCCCCGCCGCACATTGCCCTAAAGAGACAAAGCCCACGGGGGCACCTTAAAAAGGAAGCCCTGAAACCTGGAAGCCTTGAAGGATCCCTTGAAGGAGAGCCCTTAAAGGAACCCTGACTAAAGCCCTAAAGCCCGAAACCCCTAGGCCTAGACCCTAAAGCCCTAAAGCCCTCAATTGCGGGCATGTCCTTGCAAAGAAGGAGGGCAACAAAAACCCAAAATCCTAAAGACCCTAAAATCCAAAAACCCTAAAATCCTAAAGACCCTAGAACCCTAAAGCCCTAAAAACCCTACCTAGAACCCTAAAAGCCCTCAAACCCTAAACCCTCTTGGAGCCCGGAGGGGTCCTCTTCGGCATGACCTTCGATCTTCCCACGGGCCTGATGCAAGGAAACTTCGGCAGCGACCATAGCTCCTTGGCCTAGGGTCCTATGGGGCTTCGGGCTTTGGAGTTTTTGCGGTTTCAGGGTTTAGGGTTTGGGGTTTGAGGTTTATGGTTTCAGGCTTAGGCTCCTTGGCATAGGGTTCTATGGGACTTCGGGCTTTGGAGTTTTTGCGGTTTCAGGGTTTAGGGTTTGGGGTTTGAGGTTTAGGGTTTAGGGTTTGGCGCTTAGCTGAGCTCCTTGGCGGCCGAATTTCATGTAACTGTGACAAGACTATTTCTCAGGGTTCGTTTCTACAGTCTTGAGTAGGCGGCCGTTGTGGGATGTAACAAAGACCTCTGATTGAGCTAGCGCCCCGACTACCTGCCCTACCTTCAATGGTATTATTCCCTCTTTGCTGAATCCTCAGCAGACGCGGAGACGAAGACCAGAGGGCTCGTAAATGGACCCAAACAGCTGCTAAGAAGGGGCTCCTGCATCAGGGGCATCCTGCCTATTTTCCTTTTTGCAAACGAGCTTCTATAGGAACCTTCAACATCCCAAAAAGAGCCTTGAACCCTAAAGCCTTATAAATCATAAGCCCCCCAAAAGGAGTCCCCCTTCAGGCTCCTGTATCATGGACTACGTCTTTAGCCACTTCTGCGGCATCCTCTGCGCCGCGCTGGTGGCCCTGGTCATCTATGGCGCAGCCCGGAGGGAGACTTTCCTCGCAGTCTTGGAGGGTGTTTAGGGAGGCTTGGGGTTTAGGATCTAGGGCCTCTACAGTAGGGGTCACTTTGATAGTTCAGGCTCTAGGATTTCTAGCGTGGATGTGCGTGAGAATACCGGAATCACAACTAGACGGTTTAGGGTTTAGGGTGTTACAAGCCCCAACCCAAAGACTATGACCTGGCTTGCGAGCACTGCAACCCTGGAATTGCAGAGGTGTCTGCAGCCCTTTCACAAGACGCTGGGATCTTTGAAATGTTTGCTAGGCAAATCGCCGCAGGGATGTGTAAGACATATTCAGTCTCTTCGGGATCTTAGGGGCCAGGATCGCAGCGCCTAAAGCCTTCGAATCCTCAACCCGACAGTGTCCACAAAGCTATGTCGCAAAGTCAGGGCCGAAAGCTAAAAAAACCCGAATCCTCCAGCAAACACCTGGAGACAAAGGTGCAGAGGAGAACTACACTGAAGGTCAACAAAAAGCTGTGCAACTCTACCATACCCGCCTTGAGAGCGCTTGGAGTTTGGAGTTCAAGGAAGAGGGTCTCGAAGCGTCTTAAGCCTGAGCCCTAAATCCAAAGTCCTGTGAAGCCAAGACTGATTGTGTTGGCAAAACGCCCTTTACGAAATCTTTGGCCCTAAACCCGAACGGTTTCGACTAACCCTAAACCCTAAACCCTAAGCCTAGGAGAAGTGCTACATGCCTCTTCGCATGGTTTGGCCCGCCATTGCTTCGGGGGTGCTCTGGGGCATCGCCCAAGTAGCATGGTGCCTCGACGCTCGATGGTGCGTTCGGCTTAACGGCTGAAGCGGAAAGGGCTTCTGACTTCTGAATGCTCAGGGCTCGTAGGGGAATCGCAGGGGTAGAGTTTTTGTTTAGGGTTTTATAGCTTTGGGATGTAGGGTCGTGTTTTGTAGTTTGGCACGCGGCGTAGGATGGAACATGTTCTTTGTGCCGATTTGGTTTATACAACGTTCAAAGGCTCAGCGTTCATCGCTTCATGCCTCGGGGGCTTTGCCGCGGATGATCCTTTGAGGGTTCTGGGGTTTCGGAGGCTTTGCTCTTCCTGGCTTCGGAGGGGGGCCTGAAGGTGCTGCGTTTGGGGTTTGGGCTCGAGATGCTAAGCGGGATCCTGGCATTCATCTGGGCCCTAAGTTGTAGGCACCCGGTTTAACCCTCAACCCTAAACCGCCGTGTGCTTAGATCCTCAGCCATGCGAGAGGGAACAAAACCCTAAACCCTAAGTTGTAGGATCCTCTTCTAGGCACCCGGTTTTTGAGCCGGACCAAACCCCTACTGTCGAGGAAGCCTTCACCCCGGAGCCCCGAAGCCCAGGTTCCAAGCCAACATCGAGCTGGGCTTCTCCGTGGCCTTCCCGATGCTGGGTGGATCAGGATGGCGTAGGGTTTAAGGGTCAACCCTAGACTCTCCAAGAGGACTTATACTTATACCTCTTTTAAGGAAGTTACTAAGAAGGAGCCCTAAGGTCTCTTAGGGCTTTAGGGTCTAAGGTTTAGGGTGTGGTTAGGTTGTAGGAGCTCAGGTAGGTGCCTATAGAGTACTATAGAGCTTAGGTAACTTGGTCGCATGTAGGCTTACGGGTCTGGAGAAACCCCTCCGGTTCTCCGACAAAGGCTTTCGGTTTCGGTTCAGCGGATTGATAACGGCGTACTACTCGGCGTTTAGAGCGTGCCAAGCATGAAGCCCCAGTGCGATGAGCTACGATCCCATAAAAAGCCGTCCTCTGGTCTCCAAGCCCAGAAGCCCAACATCCCCAATTTAAGGGAATACGCCGTAAAACCATGACCACAGGATGCTGCGCTCTCTCAAACAAGGGATAAATGAGAGGCGGCGGAATGGGTCTTGTGGGGCCAAAGCCGAAAGCCAAGGATCATCGGCAGTCTTCCTGGCATTGTCGGACTCTGGGCTACGATGGTAAGGAAATTCGATGTTCAAGGGCTTAGGCCAAGGAGGCGCAGGATTCAGGGCTGTTGAATTTATGGTCGAGTTTGTTATTATGGCATGAAATGAAGGTCTTCAAGAAGAGCTCAGGATTGGTCATCGGCGTGGCCTTCCTTGGTGAGGCATCGGGAAATTGGGCGCTCAGTGCGTGTAGGGCTTGGGACTTGTAGGTTTTGCTACGTGCTTCAGGGGTTTGCAGGTGTGGAGAATTTGAGGGGATTCTGGAGTCCAGGTGGGAGACTAGTGTAGATGTTTGAATGGTTGCCGGCACTACTCCGCGGAGTTCCCATTCCCAATCCTAGCATCTGGATTTACCCCACAACACAGGTTTAATCATCAAGGCCCCTATATATGATGGGCAGCTAAACAGACCTGAAAACGCACCCCTACTCTAACCTGCAAGCACTTGGCAAGTGGAGTTTGTGGGGAGACCAAGCCCAAAACCCGTAGACCCTAAACCCTAAAACCCTTAAACCCCTAAACCCCTCAACCCCTAAAGCCCTAAACCCCCAAACCCCTTAAGCCCTAAACCCCTAAACACCTAAACCCTACACCAGGTGAAATCCCGAGGAAGTCGAATTTGGGCAGCGCTCGGCTTAGCGCTGCGCTTGCCAGGTGGGCTCCCTTTGAGCCCCAGGGTCCGGCCCCTCCTCCAGCCATACTCCAGGGCAAAAGGGCTCCTCAGTAGGCTTGTGGGTCATATCAAGATGTTGTCGACTTTTTTGGTGCTTTTTGTGGAATTGCGACAATGTTACACTATCGGAATGTACCCCCGAGCCTTGCTCTAGTTGTTGAGGCCCCTCTATTGCAAGGTCTAGAGTCTAGGGTTTAAGGCGATTCGGTTCCGGGATATCTCAGCTTTGCACGAGCTTGCCGTAAAGAAGTTCACTGATCGTTCACCCTGAATCGAGGCCCGCAAATCCAACCCAAAGTCCAGAGGGTCGGACCCGCCGTGCTGGTTGGCATGCAGGTGTGATCCTTATCGCTGTCTCTTCCTGAGCGGGGAGCCCATGGTGGCTTGCCATAATCGTCTGCGTGCTATCTTAAAAAGGTGGTAGTACTACACTGAGTATAAGCCGGATTTCTAGAACTCTCATACTTCAGCTTTGTCCGTGGTTTTAGCGTTATTACTGTAGTACTTCATATCATGACTGTTAGAAAGTTGAATGATTTTGTTTGTAGTACTAGTAGTACTAGACGACACTGACGAATCTATGCAAGATGTGAAGTTCTTGTAAACACTATACAACACAAATCATTAGCACCGTCAGTTTGTTCTATGTGGTCGGTTACCCTTACTGTGACCAAGCATAATCCAAACTCCTTCATCACAGCTCCGGGCTGTGAGGTGTGGGGTATGTGGGGTCTTCGGGGTCTAGGGTTTTCGGATGGCTTTGGCTTTTGAAATTTTGGTGTCTTGAAGCGTGCTTCTCGGTGCCGAATGTTGGGCTTGAGGGCTGGCATATATTTGGGCAGCAACAATGGGAACAAAGCCCGTGCATATACGATGTATACAATAATATTTTCAGATCCTGCCAAACACTACGACTGCGAAGGATTGAGAATGTGAGTCAGAGCAGGAAGAGTCGTACGATATGTGGCCCCAAACCCTGCACCCTAAGCCCTAAACTTTGAACCCAAGCACCGAAAAGCTCCTGGGCCTGGGCGCCGAGGCTTGGGCGGTGTTGGACCCCAGGCCAATTTTGAGCGCCGGAATTCTCGGGAGAGATTTGAGAAACAAGGGCCTTAGTACTTCGAAGAAGGGCTGATATATGTAATATAGGGGCCTGACTAATCAGAATAGGGTTCTTGGGTGTACGCTATTCGGGCTGACTCGGGCTTCTAGGTTAGGGTTCAAAGTGTTCCACTCGAAATCCGCACTCTGCACACGAGGTACCTGACGGTCAGGTATTTGACAGACAGGTCTCCAATTCTTTTAATAACCTAGCATTTCGAGGATTGTACAGTTTGGCACAGAGACTCTGCATCGCCACCTTTACCGGACATGTGTGCTCTGGTCGCAGGTTCCATAGTCCAGACTCGTTTCGATGTACAGGGCGGCCACCTGTCTCGGACGGGGGTGGCCTCTTGCAGCGGCTTGCCACCAGAAAAAAAAGGGCACGGGCACCAGGTTCAGTGCTTGAGGGTTTTTCCTCTTGCAAGGATTACCATTGTCATCACAATGATTACGAATATCATGTTTCAATATTATTGCTGCCTAAGTCTTCGGGAGTCGGGTGTAGAAGTTCGACGGCCGGACTGCGAAATGACGAGTCGGGAGTCGGGTGGCTTTGAATGGACAGGAGAAAGTATCACAGGCATAAGAGTGGGGTTAAGGATAACTATGAGGGCTATTCCAAGAGTTTATTGAAGGGCGACTAGAAGAGCATCCAGACTTCCAGCACAAGGGTTGCTGTAAGGCCCACTTTTAAGGGTTATTTTGCGCTGCCCGGCGAGTCAAGCACGAATCCAGGGGTGCGATGAGTCCTGTCGCTGCAAAGTAGTACCGACGCTTGAATAATTTGAAAGGCTGTTCCTTCTGCCTTTTGATTGCTATTGTTTGGGTAGTATAGTATACCTCGGAACGCTATTCTAAGACGTCGAATTCTTCCAGTAGTCCTAGAAGATGCGGTGCCTAAGCCATGAGCCTTCGACCTGAAACCTAAACTCCGAGACTGAACTATCAACCTATCAACCCCCGACTCTAGATTTAGGGTTTGGGGTTCAGGGTTTATATGGTTTAGGGTTAGGGTTTAGGGTCCCTGAGCCTTATAGAACCCTGGTAGATCTTCTGACGGATATTTCGGGTTCTTCTTTCTTCTGCGGAGGTGAAGCCCACCGAAATCCTCAGCGCGAATGCCCGCTTCGACTACGCAACCTAGCTTCGGGTTAATTTGGGGGTGTATTTGCGAAGAATGCTCCCTTATCGTCCTTATACAATATACTATGATATACCCCAAAGTCTCAAGTCAAAGCCCTTTTCCTATCATTGAAGCCCCTATGTTCGGTGTAATTAGGATGAACGGCTTAAGGGTCCAGCAGCTTTGGGGTCTAGGGTACACGTTTCGAAATAGAGTCGTGCACAGAGTCGTGATGACAGTTATGTAGAACATGTCGAAAGGGGCAGGGCTTGGCAGCAGAAGCGTCGGCACAGAGAAGTGTAGGACGTGGAGTTTCGGCGGGCTTTGTTGCTTAGCCGTCAGCTTTGGTTGAGCCTGGCTGTTGGAGTAGAGACAGGCCTATGGGCTACGGGCAGAATTCAAGGGGCGGGCTGGAGGTCGGCACGGAGTTTTTTCCTTTTTTTAGAAATGGTTGCAAGGGCTACAGGCGGCTTCATTTCGGTTTGAAACGGGGTTTGGCCTTCGTGTTGGGGTCTTTCGGGTTGAAACACAGAGAGCCAGACGCGTGGCTTTTGGAGACCCGGTTCAATCAGGCAATGCTGCTTGCGAGTGTTGCTTGTGTCGCAAAATGGTGTGCGTGTTCTTTCGTTCACGATGCTTTGCGAGCTTGCTTCTGGTTTAGGTGGTCAGGGCTTCAGGTGTCGGGGTTCATGGGAAGCTTGGACGCTACAGTTCCGGCATCAAGGAGCTTAATCAGCCTACAGGATAAGCTCGGGACTTGGAAGTGTTGGTTCTGGTAGCTTCTTTCTTACAGCAGCCTGCTCCTCTTGCTGTTGAAGTAGGGCTCAGAGCTTGGCGGGCTTCCGAAGCAAAGCAGTGCTGTAGAACACCCTGAACCCAAACAACGCATTACCTGAACCCTAGACCCTAAACCCCAAAGGGTACCTGCAAATGCGGGCTCTTCCTAGCTAGGTGGTAGGCAACCCGTGCCTTAACCCTAACTTTAATTCGGGGAAAAAATAAGCCTCAGCCAAGTTTAGGTGATCGACCCGAACCGCTTCCTGCCCATGGCCCTGGAAGTGCCCTGCAGAAACCCTGTTCAGGGTGTCGGTTTGTAAGGGTATTGCGGGGTTGGTAGTTGCCTCCTTAAAGGTCTGATTTATTACGGGGGCTCATCGGGGGTTATGGGAGCTTTAGGGTAACAGTAGGGCAAGGCTTGTCGGTTTATGTAAGGGGTTAGGGGGCTTTAGGTTTTGTTTTGGATTTACGCTTTGGTTTGGGGGCCAGGGCTTCAGGGGTTTGGGGCTTCCGGCTTAGGGATGGGCTTTGGGGGGCAAGACGCCCACTTCCTTGTGGGATGCCAGTCAGTAGGAATTGCTCGTTTGCTCCTGTGCGTGGGCTGCACGAGTGCTGGCTATCATCCATGGAGACCAGATACAAAAATGGGCCGTGGGGTGAGGGCGTGACAATTCCAGGTTTGGGGAGTTGGAGTTCTCCGACCGCCCCAACCCTAAACCTTCAGCCCTATAACTCCTCAAGTCCGACGTGACACAAGGCCTATGATGCCGGGTTGGCGATCCTGAACCAGGCAGGGTGGGCGGTTGCTCTCGGGTTGCCAAGCAGAAGATGCAGGGTTGCGGCTCTTGGGTTCATTGCTCCTACGGTTTTTGGATCAAGCACCTAGTGCTTTGTCTCAATGCCAGGTCCCATAAGTAAAAGGAATTAAAAGAATGAAAGCCCTATCCGCAAAAGAGCACCAAGACCTAAATGTGGGCCGTAGGTTTGTGCAGTAGGGTTTAGGCGGTTTAGGTCGTTTAGAATGTCGTCGACGGCTTGTATTTTTTCGACACCACTCTTTGTCAGGTTGCGCTAGCCTTGCCTTTCTATGCCAGTTTTGTTCGCGATTCCTCTTGAAGCCAAACGGACCCCGAAGCCTTGCAGCGCTAATCCTAGCTCCATCCCCCGGGATACATTTCGCGAGGGGGCGCCTTAGACGGAGGTTTTAATAGTCGCAGGCTGTACTGTCTTAGTATTCCTCCTGTAATCGTTGACGAACCCTTCCGTCTAAGTCATACCCTGCCTGGCGACTCGCAAGGCAAGGCAGAAGGCAAAAAGGTCATCCGGTGCCCGACGAGATGCCTTGACCCTAAACCCTAAAACCCTNNCCCTAAAGCCCTAAAGCCCTAATAAACCCTAGAACCCTGAAAAATCAGCCTGCAGGTCTACCCACTGGAGCGGCTCATGCAACTTGGCCTCCCCCGGTCTCCATGCCCCCAAGCCTCGACCACAAGGAGCCCTAAACCCTAAAGCCCGGCTAGGGTTTAGGGCTTATGGGGTTTAGGGTTTAGGGTTTAGGATAGCCCTAAACGCCCGAGATCCTTCCATGACGGCTTTTGCGAGCAAGATGCGAGGGTTTCCCCTGGATGAGCTCGAGATAGTTTCACCGGTCTTACAGCCAACGAGCTAGGAGTTGGCTCCTGGGTGTAGTTGGTTGTTCGCTGGTTGGGCGCTGTCAGTGGAGTATGCCCCATCGGTTGGATAGGTGCTTCTGCCTACTGCGGCTATTTTACTCCAGTTGACAGATTTGGACAGCGGGAGACTGGACCCTAAACCCTAAACCCTAAACCCTAGGAGTTGAAATCTTATGAAGTTCAGTTCAAGCCGCAGCATCACGAGCCTCGTTTTCAGACCTTGCCTGGACTTGTCCGAGAGTAAGACCCCATCAACCACCCCCCCAACCCCAAACCCTCCCTAAACCCTAAACCTCAAACCCTAAGTAAACCCTGAACCCTAACCCTACATCCTACACCCCTGAAGTGCGGCTCTGTCAGCCGAGAGGGTGGGGAAAAAACCCTGAATCAACACAGCCCTAGACCCCAAACCGCAAGGATCCCACCGCGGCTTCAGAGCTCGGACGGCCCGTCGCTGGTCCAAGCCACTTTGAGGCTCTTTAGTACGACAGGAGTGGGTTAGGGTTTATGGGTTTAGGGCGTAGGGTGGGTTTAGGGTTTACCGCATCCAATGACGCTTCGAGTACCTGTGAGAGAGAGAGAGAGAGCGAGAGAGAGAGAGAGAGTTCTGCAGGGTTCCGACGGCTTCATAGGAGCCCGATGACCAGTAGTTCCCTATCAAAATCAAAGTATACTGTTAAGGCCCCTA